CGTCCGTTTTACGTACCAGGACGTTTGGACGAAAGTAAGACCTGAACTGGATATCTTTAAGATGTAGTGTGCTATCTGGATATTATTAAATTAAGCTAGTAAGAAATATTATATATAAATGAAGATAAATTTATTACTGACTCTTAAATAATACTAATTTGGTACAATAACAAGAAGTTTTAGCTAATGACTCTTTTTTTAAATTTTTTAAGTTTTTGTTTAAGAACTTTGATTTGTCTTGTTTTTTTCTTTATTCTTTTCTACCTGTTGTAGAAGTTGTCTTTTAAGCCGTTTTATGCTGGGGATTTCTAGGATAGATTCCTTATTTGAAGTTCTATTTGAAGGGCCCGGCTCAGCTTCCAAATGCAATGCTCTTGTTTTTAAGTACTACAAACAATCAATTATTACGGTAATGTTTTGAATTATACACAAAAGGGTTGCTAAATTCTTAAAAGTTTATAACATAGTAATGAAAAGTAATTAAAAAAATATATATGTTTAATTATGTTTATTAGTATACAGGGTGTTAAAAAAAAGTGTCACAAAATAAAACGGGGGGTAGTATGGGCCAAAATATGCAGAAAAGTCTTAATAATCATATGTCCGCAAATGAATGGTTTCAGAGATACGGAGTGTTTTGTGTTTTGTATCATTTTTTGATTATCTTTTTTCATTCTCAAAAACTTGCTTTTCTTATCGAAGTCTACCGATGTTTTTTCATAGATACTATTTGCAGTTATTATTTTGTTGTGGGTGAATAATTTTATAAATTTTCGTTATGCCTGTTTACACTAATATTGAATTAGCTGACATGCATTTTATGTACGGTCGTGCAAATGGCAATGCGAGGGAAGCGCTACGTCAGTATTTGAACATCTCATTTAACTCTATGTTGTTATTGATTGTTTATAAATATCATTGTTTTTTTATAATAATAAAAAAATGTTATAAACACAAAATGGTCCGTATCTCCGAAACCGTCAATTTGCGGTCATATATTTATTAAGACTTTTCTGCTTATTTTGGGTCATACTATTCACCATTTCATTTTGTGACACTTTTTTTTTATATATAGATTTCCTGTGGATCCAGCAAAAAAATCTTTGGATTCAGGTAACGAAAATTGAAAATTGGATACCTACGCCAAATGATAGATAGTGTTCAAAACATTTTGAAAGACATTTTTTTATGGGACGAACTTTAAAAGAAGTTAAGTAAATGGAGCAGTTCCAACTATTCTCTAAATACATGCAGCCGAAGAAGGTGTATACAAGGTGTTAAAAAAAAAGTGTCACAAAATGAAATGGTGAATAGTATGACCCAAAATAAGCAGAAAAGTCTTAATAAATATATGACCGCAAATTGACGGTTTCGGAGATACGGACCATTTTGTGTTTATAACATTTTTTTATTATTATAAAAAAACAATGATATTTATAAACAATCAATAACAACATAGAGTTAAATGAGATGTTCAAATACTGACGTAGCGCTTCCCTCGCATTGCCATTTGCACGACCGTACATAAAATGCATGTCAGCTAATTCAATATTAGTGTAAACAGGCATAACGAAAATTTATAAAATTATTCACCCACAACAAAATAATAACTGCAAATAGTATCTATGAAAAAACATCGGTAGACTTCGATAAGAAAAGCAAGTTTTTGAGAATGAAAAAAGATAATCAAAAAATGATACAAAACACAAAACACTCCGTATCTCTGAAACCATTCATTTGCGGACATATGATTATTAAGACTTTTCTGCATATTTTGGCCCATACTACCCCCCGTTTTATTTTGTGACACTTTTTTTTAACACCCTGTATACTAATAAACATAATTAAACATATATATTTTTTTAATTACTTTTCATTACTATGTTATAAACTTTTAAGAATTTAGCAACCCTTTTGTGTATAATTCAAAACATTACCGTAATAATTGATTGTTTGTAGTACTTAAAAACAAGAGCATTGCATTTGGAAGCTGAGCCGGGCCCTTCAAATAGAACTTCAAATAAGGAATCTATCCTAGAAATCCCCAGCATAAAACGGCTTAAAAGACAACTTCTACAACAGGTAGAAAAGAATAAAGAAAAAAACAAGACAAATCAAAGTTCTTAAACAAAAACTTAAAAAATTTAAAAAAAGAGTCATTAGCTAAAACTTCTTGTTATTGTACCAAATTAGTATTATTTAAGAGTCAGTAATAAATTTATCTTCATTTATATATAATATTTCTTACTAGCTTAATTTAATAATATCCAGATAGCACACTACATCTTAAAGATATCCAGTTCAGGTCTTACTTTCGTCCAAACGTCCTGGTACGTAAAACGGACGGTTTTAAGACGCCCTGCTCAGGACATGCTTAAAACGTCTTTGTTGGGATGTTTTTATGACGTTTTAAATATGTCGGTAATTTGGACGTTGAACTCTTTTCACTAAATTTGAATATAGCGCTACGACAGTGTTCTTGGCGCGGCCTGCAGCGCCTGTAGATCGTCATTTGTCATTGTTATTGGCTGATTGGAGTCTCGCGCACGCGTATCGAGTCGTGTTCTTCCTCTAGCTGCCTTCTTCTCGGGAAAGCCATTGTATAATATTTTAAGCGTCAGTCTGTGGACATTGTCATTACTTTTTCGTGGTTGTGTGTTTTTATATATTGTCTTTTTATTTTATTTATTTGCCATTATTGGAACTGTGGTATAGCGGAACTAGTAAACTTTATTTTTAAAAACGGTAAGTTTTAATTTATTTGCCTTTTCTTTACATAACCTCACTTTAATAATGTCGTATTTTTTAGAAAAAACACCTTAAAACAAAAACAAAATTATATGCTATGGAGACATTACTTACAGACTCTTTGGCTAAAATTAATACCATAGAAGAAATTTTTAAATTGACCAAACTGGAATAGTTTCTCATAGCAACAAATACTTAAAGTCATTTTTTAATTTTTTTATCCAACACTGTATAATAATATTTATTCTGTGTCAGTTTTAATAGTTTAATAATGTATAATAAACAGTATTAAAAAATATAATAGATAAGTATTCATTTATTTTTTTTAAATGAATTTCCATCAAGCAAATAGAGGCGACTTAAATACGTCCATATACGGTTTGTTCTCAAGACGTACAAAACTGGATGTCGTAAAGACGTACAAAATTAGATGTCCTAAAGACGTCCTTGTTTTGTAACAAAGTACGTAATATCTTTTGGATATTAACGTAGATCTTCAAAACGTCACGAACGTCGTGAACAAACGTATTTAAGATGTTTTTAAAACGTGTCTGTGCTATCTGGGTAGTGTCATTCTTTATTAAGTAAAAATAAATCATTTTGTAATACATGTAGATCATTATGTTTTATTTTGCGGAATTAAAAAAAAACACTCATTTTATTATGTAAACGATTTCATTCAGTTTATTTCTATATATTTTATCCTTGTGTTTTATTTATTGGTACTTATTTATTTTAAATTTTACGCTTTCAACTTGCTTTATACATAAAAAGATTAATGAAGTACTAATAAAATAAATATAAGTTCGTTTTTAACACGCTTATATTAGCTTCACCTGTATGTATGTATGTAACTCTCCTTTGGAGCCAAGTGGCTTATTACTGTCAGTACATCCCACTGAGTCAAGTTCCTTTGTTGGCCAAGCGGTCTAAGGCGCGGGTTTTCGATTGCCAGAATCACCGATCGTGGGTTCTAATCCACAAAAAAAAATAATTTTTTTTTTCACCTATTTCAACTTACAAATTTTTTTTTTAATAATTAATCGAACTAAAAAGTAAAAATAAATATAGTTTAAAAAAAACTAAAAAACACGCTTTTATAATACATCGAACTAAAAAGTGAAAAATAAAATATAGTTTAAAAAAACTAAAAAACACGCTTTTAGAGGATATCAAACTAAAAAGTTAAAAATAATTTTTTTTACCACGCTTTTATTCAAATAAGCTTAAAACAATAATAAATGGAAAATACTAGTATTATTGTGAAAAAAGCGTAGGGCGCTTTGTCCATATTTCTCGTACATCGATGTTGAATAGAATAGAAGAAAATTTAAGATTGGCTCTTGGGGATAACACATGAAAAATTCGATTTTCCTTATCGGAAAAATGTTTCGACTCCAAAATGAACTTATACATTCAGGTCATTCAAGAAAATATATTTTTCGGACTAGTGACGATGGGCTTGTGTGGAAAAAACTGGTAAAATCTCGATTTTTCCTTAGAAGATTGGGCCCTTATTTTAACCCTTTAGCCACTTGCAACATTAAAGCCTTTGATTTTCCGAAGCCTAGTTCTAATAATTAATCACATAGTGAAAACGGCTTACGTGGAAATATGGGCAACAAATAATCTTTCATGTTTGTTGGGGAAAATCGAATTTTCCATGTGTTATCCTCAGGAGCCACTCGTAATTTTACTTTCATTCTACTTATAATCGATGTACTTTTCAACCCTCTTTGAGGCTTGCATGCGAAAATGGAATACACCTAAACGTGTCACTATCTGACGGTCTATAATGCTTAAAACGCATCTTTAAGGTCTTTGAATTTGGCGCCTTCCCTACATTTTTTCAACACACTCAAAATATGACATTTCCGCCAATAGACCAAATTTGATTTTTCTATTGAAAATAAAGGGGACTGAGATAGGGGAAGGGGAGGGGAAAAACAATCTTTAATAATATTTTCTTTTATATTTTACTTTTTAACATTTTTTATTAATATGTAAACTGTAAGATACCTTCAAAAATAGTGTAATCTTGTTTGAAATCCTTATAACGCACCGTTTTCGATATAATCTAATTTGAACTTTTTGCGTTTCTTACGATTATAAAATTAATTGATTTAATACCAAGCTGTCTTTGGAAGATAAAAAAATTTGACAAATGTAAGAACATAATTGTAAAATGTTGTAAATGATCGTTTTAAGAAAATAAGATATTAAGGTATGTAATTTATTTAAAAAATAGTTACCTCTGTTGAGTTTCAGAGTTTTTGGTGGCTGCATAATTCTGAATCCTTCGGGAACCTTCAATGAAGGTGTGGACAAAACTTGTTTGGTTTTTGCATTGTAAAAGTAATAAGACATCGCTTGACTTACTATCATACAGTAAAAGATTATTTTTACCAAGAAATTCATATTTGTTATCTGAAAAAAAAAGTTAGGAGCATAAATATAGAAAGACTATAGAATTGATCATTTGTTTTATTTTAAGGCCACAAAAGTGTCTTAGAATCGCTAAATTATTTTACAATTGATATAATATACAAAAAATATTAGGTACTCTGAATACCCAAAAATTTCCATTACAGTGTTTACAACAATAAACGAATGATTTTTTTGTCACTACTAAGGCGCCCATCTGCTTCTCCTGAGGGGTTACGGCAGGCTCCCCATAATGAGACTATTGTTCCAGCATATGAACATAATATTAGGAGAGATAAAAGAGAATCGGGTAGTAGAAGAACCTATTTCGCAGTCTACTATAAACAAAATCGAGAATTTTGAACAAATGGGCCTAGTAATAGAAATTCATAAATTGTAGAAAACAAATAGCAGAAAACAAGAAACTAGATGCTCTACAAGCTTCTGAAGAGAATACCACATACCCGTTCACAGCAAGTAGCATTGCATGATAACATCAAACATTCAATATAGGTCTTAAAACAATAAGAAAAGGACAAGTGGCATCCCTATAAAGTTACTTTGATAAAAGAACTTCTGGAAACTGATTTTGATAGAGGAATTGAAGTTTGCATTTATTCGAAAAATCCTGAGTTATACTGAAATTTTATAAGAAAAAAATACGTGTGGCACTCTGGGACTGCCACGGTAAAGCTATTGCATAGCATTTTTTATCAACTTATGCAATAATTATAATTATTTATTTATTTTATTTATGCAGAATTTTTTTTTTCTTTGATATTAATTCAAGTTTTTTCTTTGATATTAATTCAAGTTACACTTTTTGAGCGTGGTGACCGATAAGAACACAAATTTTTTTCCTTTATTGAATAAATGAGAAGTTTATATTGTTTAAAATATTTTTATTATTTTACAATACTGTTTCGATTTTTTGATTTTTCGATTTTTCGATTTTTCGATTTTTCGATTTTTCGATTTTTCGATTTTTCAATTTTTCGATTTTTCGATTTTTCGACTTTTCGATTTTTCGATTTTTCGATTTTTCGATTTTTCGATTTTTCGATTTTTCGATTTTTCGATTTTTCGATTTTTTGATTTTTCGATTTTTCGATTTTTCGATTTTTCGATTTTTCGATTTTTCGATTTTTCGATTTTTCGATTTTTCGATTTTTCGATTTTTCGATTTTTCGATTTTTCGATTTTTCGATTTTTCGATTTTTCGATTTTTCGATTTTTCGATTTTTCGATTTTTCGATTTTTCGATTTTTCGATTTTTCGATTTTTCGATTTTTCGATTTTTCGATTTTTCGATTTTTCGATTTTTCGATTTTTCGATTTTTCGATTTTTCGATTTTTCGATTTTTCGATTTTTCGATTTTTCGATTTTTCGATTTTTCGATTTTTCGATTTTTCGATTTTTCGATTTTTCGATTTTTCGATTTTTCGATTTTTCGATTTTTCGATTTTTCGATTTTTCAATTTTTCGATTTTTCGATTTTTCGATTTTCGTTTATTGAATAAATGAGTGGTTAATACTGTTTAACGCCGTACCGCTGTGCCGGTCGGAGTAGGGGGTGTTAGGTTTTTTTTTTTCGTTATGGTTTCGTTTTTTTTTCTTGATTCGGTCGTCGCGCTCAAAGCCCGCGATAAAAGCTATGCAATGGCTTAAAAATAGTTATTCAAAAGAGGCATAATAAGCGATTTCTTTTATTAATTTTTACAACCTTTGGACCAACATGCTATCACCATAATTTTACCACCATTTAAAGGTTATACTACTTTCCCATTCACTCACTCGCTCACTGTCATTCATTCCACTTCCAAGTCCCATAGTGACACGGCTCATGTTAGAGGGTCCTAGCCATCAAACATTCACGACGTGACCGAAGAGATCACTGCTAAACTGTTGCAAGAACGTGAATGCACAATAATCTCGCCTTTTTGGTTCGTTTGATCGACAGTTTTATATGGAATTAATTGAAAAATGAAATAAAATTAATTCTTACATTTAGAACATGATTCCCGAAACATTTTTTTTATGACTATTCGTTAGCTTGAAATCTTTAATACATGAAATTTAAACAATTTGAAGTTATTGCTAATCTAACTTAATAATGGTAATTTTACCTAGTTGTCCAATTTTCTATTTTTACAAAAATATAACTGTTTGGTCGCCATGTAACATAGTCAAAAATATTTTTAAAACAAATACAGTATTAGCAGGTCACTGAAAAATAAAAAAAATCGCTAGTTGCCCTGTTGAATTTTTTTTTCTAATCGCAGTAACTAGTTACACTAAGTTGAACATTATGTAACTGGTTAGGAAAAATTCTTTGTCACCAGTTGCGAAAAATTAAAATAAATATACAGGGTATTAGTATATTGGACAAACAACGGTCTACCCTAATTGATGAATTTTGATATAGGAACGTAAACCCTTAAAGGGCTTAGTTACCAAGATACAGGGTGTTAATTTTTAATCAAAATTCAAAATTTCCCACAAATCAAAAACTACTTTATTTTTTTTTTAATTTTATCTCTCAAGATCTTGTCAAATGCACGAACTAATAAAAATTTGACACGGGCCTACTATTTAGAAATATTGAGTCGTTAAAAATGATCTAAATATATGTAGATAACTTTTAATTTTTTTGCGGTAAAGAGACAAAAGTCTAATGTCAATTCTACACAAAAATATCGATGAAATAAATGAAGTTATGCAACTAACAATGTACGAAAGTAATATTGGTTGCATAAATGTTAGTAATTTTTTTACCAAATTTATAAATTATTATTTTACTAAAAATTAGAAAAACATTGTATGTAATACGTTACGAAATGCCGTTTTGTCTAACTTATTCGTTTTGCGGAACCTCACTCTGCTCGTTCCGCAAAGATTCATTCGTTACATAAAATAGATCATTTCGTAACTGGTTACATAAATAGCTATAATTTAACAGATAAAAATGGTAAACCCTGTATAAACAAAAATATGTTGAAAATGTGTTTTTTATTTCCCCATAATTTTAAATTGTGAATACCCGCTAATTATAAATTATCCTCACAAAAATGTTTCTCTGTTTTAGAAAATTGTCAGTTTTGTAATTTTGACATAAATATTTGATAAGAAAAACCTATTTTATAGCGATTTTTTCTTTCAAAAATATTTTCAAAAACTTACCTATAAATAGAAAAATTCAGAATCACCTCTCCCTTAAAAAAATTCACTAACTTTAAAGAAAGTTCTTCAACGTTGAAAATTTTATCAAACCGTTTTATTTCAGTATTCGCGATTTAAACCAATGAGGTCTTTTTCTATTTTAAATATTGACTTTAAACGAAATTCAAGGCGATTTGTAACAATGAGACCATACATTACTTTTACGAGTAACCAACATTTGGTGTAAATGATTGATAAGGAAAATAAATGTCTTTTCAAACATGTTATGTAATATATAATGTAACTACAACATATTTCAATAGTCACATAAGGGGACGAAATTGGAAAAATTAAACTATTTCTAAAATAAATCTATTTCGAAGACAAATACAGTCATAGGCTCAAAATGTAAGCTGTAATTTTTATTTTTGGAATGTTTGACCTCTTTTTTTACTTTCCTATCTGTATACAGATATAAGGATAGTATAGGAATCATGATTTTTTCGACATCGAGTTTTCGACGGATTTTTACGTTTTGAGGTCCCCTGAATCCATTTTGACTGTTTTCGCGATGACGTACATATGTGTGTCTGTGTGTGTGTCTGTGTGTGTCTGTGTGTGTCTGTGTGTGTGTCTGTATCCACCATAACTCATGAACCGATACACAGAAAAACACCAAATTTTAAACCTATGCTTTGTTCCAGCGTCCAATGAATTGGTTAGATTTTGGGTAGAGTCGGAACATCTGGGGGGGTACTTTATAACTGGTAATTTTTATATTTTATGGAGTATATCTGTTATTTACGTTTGGAGAAGAAAATTCTTCGAATAAGAGTTATTTCTCTTATTATTATCTATAATTTTTGTTCTATACAAAATTTTTCTAAAATGGTCCGTATTCGATAAATTTGATAAAATGTAAAAAAATATTTTTTTATAAAAATTGTTTAAATAAAAGTTGTTTGTAAAATAATTCTCTATAATTTTTATTTTATACATAATTTTTCTAAAATGGACCGTATTCGAGATATTTGAGAGAATGTGTAAATTTCGAAATTTGAAGAAAACTCAAAAACGGATAAAGAAAAAAAACATTAAATTAACTTGTTTTATTTCGGCCTGACGTGAAATGATTAGATTGTGGACAACGTTGGAACATCTGGGGGGTACTTTATGGGAAGCCGTTTTTATATTTTATGGAATATATTTATTATTTATGTGTAGAGAAAAAAAATGTTCAATTAAAAGTTACTTCTAATATTAATATCTATAGTTTCTGCTTCATGTCAAAATTTCCTGAAATGGTCCGTATTCGAGAAATTTGACAAAATGTGCAAAATTCTAATTTTTGTAAATTGTTGAACTAAAAGTTGTTTGCGATATCGATCTCTATAATTTTTGTTTATACATGATTTTTCTAAAATGGACCGTAAAGGAAAAATTGTAGGAAAAGTGCTAAATTTAAATTTTTCAGTATTTTCGTTTTCAATTAATATCTATAGAAAAATGTTTCGAGGTAGATGTAGGTGAAAAATGTATATATTTAGTTTATCCTCTTAACATTTATAGAGGTGCTGCAATAGGTTGTACAAAATAACCGGAGAAAGCCTACAATAACTAGATAGGAAAGTCACATGATACTATTATTCGAGAAGATAAACCACGCGCATGCAATCAGCCCATCTCTCTCGCACGCCTGACGTCACTGGGAGACTATCCGACTCAGCAACAGCCAGTTCTATATGGCGCAAAGCGGTTTTGCGTGTAATACTGATTATTTAATTTTTGTTCTTTTGGTTTGTTGGGTATTAGAAGTAAACGTGCGTAAAGCTTTTTATATGTTATATTTAAAAATATTGTTTTAAACATTTACTATGGTATACTGTGCAGTGGTAGGTTGTTCAAACAATAACAACCAAAAACATACTGCTGCAAATTGAATCAATATTTCCAAATTTCTGTTGCTGTTTAACTTTTAGGACGATTTATTACTTGTTTATCCAAACATTTTTAATTTTTACCCCTCTTTTTTATATTCATCCGTAATTTTTATAAAAATATTAAATTGATTTAAAATAAAAATGTCTATACTTTAAAAACTCTAAAATTGGAATAACTCAATTTTTTTTCAAATATTTTACCCCCTCCCCTTTATACCTCTACCTGTATTTTTTTATTAAATCACTATATGAATTTTAAAATTAAAATAATACGAGACTACTCGATTTTTTAAATATTTAAAATTTTTACCCCTCCCCTTTTTACTCTTTTTTTAATTATCTATTAAAATATTAAATGGATTATAAAATCAAAATGTCCATCGCCAAAAACCTATAAAACGACATATTACTCGATTTTTTACAAAAAATTGCATTTTTTACCATTTTACCCCGAAATTTCACCCCCTTCCCCTTTACCAATTTTATTCAAAAATATTCCAATTCGACCCCTAATGGAATAACACCTATCTATAGCGCAATTACTTTAAAAGTTATGGTGAATACCGATAGACAAAAATTTTCTTTTTTGCTCATAATACTTTTTTACACGTTTTGGGATATTTTAAGATGATTAGGCAAGCCAAAAAATATTTAATTTAATAATATATTAATATTATAAAAATAATATATCAATATTATAATAAATAATATATCAATATTATAATAAATAAACATAAAATATTGATTAAAACCGCTCTAGCGTAATGCTTTTCCATGCCCACGAGATGGATTGTTGTCAACGGGTGACGTCATGCGCTAACGCGGTCGAAATTGGATCGTCAAGTGGGCTTATCTTCTCGAGTAATAGTATCATGGGAAAGTCATGTGTTGGACACATCAGATTTTTTATTTAACAAAGGCAAATGTCTAATTACGAGGTTTAATCTCTGAAGCTGATGAGCACACAATATCCTTAAGTAGTTCAAATTCTTTATAGGCTACAATTTATAGTCAGATAGCCATTGGACAGGACGGGTAAGATTACAGAATAAGGTACAAATAAAAATTAAAAATACACAAAGCATACTGTTCTGTTGAGTCTATTTAAAATCAAATTAAGCTCCTTTCTGTAAAACGTATTTTATTTCCCAAAAACTGACATTAATCAAAATCACTGAATTCTATCAAAAATAATCATTAATCTAGTTAACAACATAAAACAAGTATATAGGCAATAGTCTAGTCGATGACATCCTCCCGCCCCTTGCAGCTGCTACTGTTCGAATTCCAGCTTGCATAGTTTACTGACTGGCCTTCTTAGGAGACCTGTCGATGTTTTCACGTCCGCAACCCGAATTCTTCCGTCAGGTCCGGGATATACGGATTCAATTTTTCCTAGTCTCCAATTGTACCTTGGTGCATTGTCATCGACGATTGTAACTACATCACCTGCTTCTATTTGTTTGTTGTCGGATGTCCACTTACTTCTCTTGGTAAGTGAGGGAAGGTATTCCTTAACCCAGCGATTCCAGAACAAATCTGATAGCATTTGAGATTTTTTCCAGTCTTGACGCAGGCATTTTGGATTGGGATTTGAGTCGAATAAACTGTTTTTGTTATCTCCCAAGAGAAAATGATTCGGGGTAAGTGCTTCTAGATCATCTGGGTCCGTTGATACTTTGGTTAGTGGTCTAGAGTTTATAATATTCTCTGCTTCGGCCAAAAGCGTTAAAAGAACTTCATCCTTTATGGATTGATCATATAAAATTTTACCTATCACTTTCTTAATGGTTCCAATAAGTCTCTCCCAGGCACCGCCGAAGTGTGCTCCTCCTGGTGGGTTAAATTTTACCTCGATTCCCTTATTAGTCATTGAGTCAAGCACTTGTTTTTCATTAATCTCGGTTCCTAATGCTTTTGCAGCAGCTTGTAGATTGGTTCCATTGTCACAAACGATAGTTTTTGGGGCCCCCCTTCGTGCAATGAATCTTCTAAGTGCCATAAGAGTAGAATCAGTGTTCAAGGTGTGTGCAACTTCTAAATGTATTGCTCGCACGGCGAGACAAGTGAAGATTACGCCCCATCTTTTTTCTTTTCTTCGGCCAACAGTTACAAGAACCGGTCCGAAGTAGTCCATGCCAGTATTCACAAATGGTTTAATTTCTCTTGTTAGTCTAACTAAAGGAATTTGTCCCATTAAGGGAATCTTCGGCTTTGATTTGTTATTTCTACAAAGCTGGCATTTCAAGAAAGCTTTTTTTACGGCTGCTCTTCCATTTATAATCCAAAATTTTTGTCTCAGCTGATTTAGAACTAGTTCCACTCCAAAATGTCTAGACTGTTCATGATAATGGCTAATTAAAAGATTCGTATAATTGCTCTTTGGGCTTAAGATAATTGGGTTTTTAGTTTCCTCTTTGAGACTCTTTGCCAAGTCTGTCCTACCTTTCAGAACTAGGAGTCCATTCTGTAGACCTGGTGTTAGGGGATGGATGTGACTTTTCTTGGAAATCGGTTTTCCTATTTCCATTAATCGCAATTCATCTGGAAAGCATTCTTCTTGGGAAAATCGAATCCATTTTTTCTCTGCTTCAATTAAGTCGTCTACAGTTAGATATGGTGGGCAGGTCTTCTTTTTCAACTTGTCGATATATCTTTTTACCCATGCAGTAGCTCTTATTAATCGTGACCATCTTGAGAAACGTCGTGAGTCAGGTAGTAAATTAGCCTTTTGATTCGTAATTGTAGTAAACATATATTTAAACTCTTTTTTTATTTCGTTTTGTTCCATTATCTCACTTTTCTCTTCTTCTTCCCTTGGCCACTTTTCTTCTGTTTCTTTAAGAAAAGGGGGCCCTTGATACCACATTTTCGGAAATATTACCGTTTGCGAATCTGAGGTTCTTGTTGCTAAATCAGCGGCATTCAAGGCTGTGGGAACCCACCTCCAATCTTCTTTTTTTGTAAGTTCTTGTATTTCCCCTATTCTGTGAGCTACAAATTGTTTGAACTTTCTTCCATCATTGCGAATCCAATTAAGTACACATTTAGAATCAGTCCAGAAGAAAGTTTGATGAATCGGAATTTCAAATTCTTCAAGAAGCGTACTCGCTAGACGACTAGCTAACACACTTGCTTGTAGCTCAAGACGAGGGATCGAGAGGGGTTTGAGAGGACTTACCCTAGATTTGGCTGTGACTAGGGAGACATCTATTTTGCTGCAACTGATTACTCTAAGATATGCAACTACTGAGTAGGCTTTTTCGCTACTATCGCAGAAAACATGTA